TAAAGAGGATATGCGACATCAATACCCTCATTTGTTCGTGCAATGAAAATTCGAGGACGAATTTTCTTAAGGGGGAGAGATTTGTAACATCCTCCATGTCGGGTGAGTGATTGATTTGCAAAGTTTCAACATTTGGGGATTAAAGTAGAATGATTATATAGTTTAAAAATAAAGGTTAGTAATATGAAATGAAGGTAGGGACCAAATGGTCATTGGTAAGGAAAATTTAATTAAAATAAAATGTTATGGGGTATATGAGACCCACGTGTAATATTAGGTTCCAGAACCCTCCCATTTCTTCTTCCTTCTTCCTTATTTTCTTCTCTTCCTTCTCTCAACGTTGGGCTTGCAATTAAAGGTAAGAAACTGAATTTGGTAGTTTCTTTGATGTTTTAAGATTGGAAATGGAAGCTTAGATGTTATATAAGCTAAAGGAAAGCTTATAGGACATTAAAACAACAAGATAAGTGATTTAGAGAAGGATTTGGAAAATGAATTTTTAGATGAAATTTTGATATGGATGAGTTTTTGATGTTTGAATCAGATTTTTGACTTGTCAAGAAGCTAACTAAGAAGTATGAGGTGTTAGAATTCAAATTAGAACATATTGGAATTTGGGTTGGATTCTTAAATGCTATATGGAGAATTAGATTTCTAAGTTTTAGAGGTATTTAATGGATAATAATTAGTTTAAGTAAGTGTATGAGAGCTAAGAGTAGTAAAGGGATTGAAATATGTATGTTTGAGTTGAAATTAGATGATTTTCGGGCTAAAAATAGGATTTCTGGGTTAGGGGAATCGGTACCCATTCAAGGGGAACCGATACCTCCTCAATGAAATGAATTTCCAGAATGCTATAGGGGAATCGGTACCCCCAGGGGGGGGAACCGATACCCCCTCATCGTATATGAAATTCCAGATTGCTTGAGGGGAATCGATACCCCTAAGGGGGGGAACCGATTCCCCCATGAGAAAAAGAAGAAGAAAGAAAAGAAAGCAAGACTAAGCTATAAATTCTTTAAATTAGTAAGCTATTAAAGCTTAATTGCAAGACATAGACATCTGATGATCATCTTAAAAAAAAATTATGTTTATGTAGATACCGAGCCTACTCGAGTTCGGGAACAATCTACAAGTAGGATCGATCGAGGAAAAGGCAAAGAAGTATAGGTGAGTGCATATGCATAGCATGAATATAGTAGTATATTCAGTTCTAGACTTGTGATAAGTCTAGATTCCATATTTTGACATATGATTACATTCCATATTATGATACATGACATGAATTTGTATTAAATGTATTACATGACATGAATTCATATTGTATGTATTACATGACATGATTATGCAGAAAAGTTATATGCACTATGTGATAAAGGTATGTAAATGATATGCCTATGTGTTAAAGGTATGGAAATACTATGTCTACGCGATATGAACTACGGGAAATGTATAAGCCCATGTTAGGTAGATGAGAACTATAGGTATAGTTGGCATGCCAAGGGTAGAGGGTATACTCGGTTCTTTAGGACATATGTATATCCTTTGGAACCTGTATGAAGTCTTGAAAGACACATACTTGATCCATAGTATATGTATATGATTCTTAAGGAATTCTACGTGGTCCTTATGGACATAATTCTACGGGCACTTCGGTGCAATTCTACGGGCACTTCGGTGCAATTCTACGGGCACTTCGGTGCATTTATACGAGCTGTGGTGACAGCATAGTGCACAACCTCACATTACTCAAATACCTTAGGTTCTCAATATGCTATCATGGGCCAATAAACTTATTAATACAGAATAATGAATGTTACAGTCATCCGCTTACAGGTATGGATATTGATGAAGTATACTACATTAATTAGTTACATGTTTGCATCTCATCTCATATGATCCTGACATTTTCATTACATTACATTGCCTTATTATTGTTGCCTCACTAAGTCGATGACTTAGCGTGTGAGTGTTTCACACGTAGGATCCGAGGAAAATAGAAGAGACAGGTGAAGCAGCTTGACAGTATTACTCCTGCAACCATCAGATCAGAAGCAACTTAATCAGTAGGTCATTTTGCTATGTAAATGACAGTTGGCATGTAATTAAAGGGTTAAGTTGTGTATGCTCTGAATATTTTTGTAAACTCATATTACAGTATGTATATTATTGTATTTTCTTAATATAAGTTCAAATATTTTACTATTATTTATTAAGAGTTGTGTTTTAAAGTCAATGTAGTATCTCTGACTCATATCCGGGTCGGGTATGGGTTGGGGGGTGTTACAAATGCTCATAGTGCGCCTAATATGGGTTTTGAGGGGCTAAAGAACATGAAAATTGCTGCTTTTGATATTAATGCTTATAGTACGACTAATTTGTGTGGGCAACATGAGCTAAAGAACATGGAAAGTGACGTGGTTAGTGGGATTATGAGTTTAATCAAAGAGCCGAATATTTCCCTAATTAAAGACCAGATTAAAGACTAAATATCCTTAATATTTGGATAAATTATATGTTATATATTATACAATATTAAAATTTATAAATTAGTCTCTAAAATTACACCTAAATTCATAATGGTCCAAAATTTAATAGATATTTAGCTGGGTGGGCAAATGTGGGGCGGGCGGATGCGGGGCGGGTAATGTCTCAAACCCATTACCCGCCCACCACCCACGACGGGTACCACTTTATAAATCCACACCCGCTCACTACCCGCTAAAATTATATCCATCCCCGCTCCAATTGAAACGGATACGGTGCGGAATCCACGAAACTATACCCATTTTTCATCCCTAATCCCACACACCATTAACTATACTCGTCTCTCTGGTTCCTTTTTATTTTTTTGTTGCCCTTCTAATTTTTTAGGATTTTATCCTAATTAATCTATACTGATCTATGTCATACACTTAATTTTAGTAAATGGATCTTTTGGTTGTCTATGGTTATTTCATTACCAAAAAATTATATAAAGAAATTTTAGAAAACGAGCTATTTATTCATTCAAACTTAGAAACCATTGAAACGACATAGTTTATGGTTGCTCCAAAGATGACGGCTGGATCGTGTTAGTTAATTAATTATTTGGGTAGTTTGGACAGTGGACATTGCGAAGTCTAATGTTTTACATTTTCAACGTTAAGCTGAATATTATCTGTCACACGGTCTGGATTTTCTTAATTCATCCCAACTGTTAGTAACGCTTTAAGGAGAAGTTTTCTTTTATAAGAGCAATATCATTTTTGTCTATTCTAGTTGTTCGTGTCTACAAAATTTTATGATAGTCTTATGGAGCGTTTATCCATTATAACTATTAGACATATATGGACGAATTCTCTTTTAAAGCAGCAATATATCGCGATACGATTATTATCCCCGTCTGATTATTTTATTTTATTTTACAATCAATTCTAACACATCATTTTTCCAGTTATTTTATCAACACCAACTCTCTACTACAATATTTTCGTCCTACACTCCTACTCACCCACGTTAAACAACAAATGTTACACATTTAGAAAATAACCTTCTCTTCTCCCGTCTATAAATTTGTAATGGTAACTAAAAATGACTTTCACACTCATACATTTAGAAATAATGGTAACTAAAAATAACTTTCACCCACTTTTAATGATATAAAATTTTGTGTCTGTTTATAGACAACCATAGTCAATATATGTGAGAATCATAATCAAAGTTTACATCATGATGTATAGTTGAGTGGAGATCCAATCTATACATAATTTATAAATAGAGGTGGTATGAGAAATTATATATATAAATTTATATACGATGAGATTTAAACTTAATGATATTAAAAATATAATTAAAATTTTGAACCCATCAAACAATTTTAGTGGTTAAATGAGTGTTATTATCCCTTAAAGTTTTGGGTTTAAATAGACGTGTCTATAGTGTGTGTATATTGTCAATGATTACGAAAAATTTTGAACATATATTATCCTTATAATCACCCCAAATTATTAAAAAAAATGGAGTTTAAATCTTGTTACAGAGTCCAGACATGTTTGATTTAATTCAAAACTTAAAAATGGAGTAATTTCAAGCTTTTAACATGATAAATATGAATATTATTCGATCTAGCATGATATGGTTTTATTTAAATATAAATTTATGTATACAATATATTTATTTTAAATCTCCAACTCTGTTTAATATTATAAATTAATCATGCATTATTTAATTTAAAAAGTTATAAAAATTAAAAATACTTTTTGATACCAAGAAAAGTAAGAGAATAAGGAATTACATGTTGCTTAACATAAAATTTTAAATTATTTAAATTATACAACTATTCACTTTCAATTTTATTGAGTTTTGAAACAAATAATAGGATATTTTGTTTTAATTTTATATAAAATTATAAAAAAAATTAATATATAATTTATTAGAGTATGTATATAAAATATTTTATTTAGAAAAAATGATTAAATTCATATATTATAGAAATAGAAGATAAATTGGATCAAATCTATGATTATACTCATAATCTTAGTTTCCGGTGGAATGCGATATTATAATTATATATAAAGTATTATACTCTATTTGTATTTTTTTCTTTAAATAATTTTAATTTAAGAGAAAGATGAGGTATTGACTAAGATTATTTAACCAACTGTTTTAGAGATTGTTGATTACAATATCTGTAATTTTAATGTCTTGTAATATTTACAATTCAAGCATCATAATTTAAGATTACTTATAGTAATCTTAGATAAAACGAATCAAACATCACTTAAAAATATTTAAAAATGATTATTCTTAAATCAATTGATATCATAATATAATTACATCTGATAAGAACAAACTAATTCGTAAATTAAAATATACATAAATACATTATCTTTTATTTTAAAGATTTAAATATTTTAGGAAAGATTAATTTTAATATAAAGTATTTGAGAAATATAATTTATTGAAGTAATTGAAATTGAATCCAAATACAGTAATCAAAAGAAAGGAAAATTAATTAAAGAATATATACAGCCCAAAAAATTCGACGTCGCCCAATGCCCTCCACTTCAAACACTCGTGTCATCATATAACCATAATTTGTGAAAAGCCTAACGGCGACATTAGTGGCATGTTAAAAATCTCCTTCATGTCATTGTTCAAATCCCAAAACACAGACCAATTTGACGGCGTCAAAGGCACATCGCCGTTATCTTTCACTTTCGTCACGTTTTCGTTCTCTCTCTTCACCACCTTAGCCCGTCTTTCTTCTCTTACGCCGTTATCTCTGTTACGTTTCCTCTCTCCGTCAATGGCACCTGAATCCAGTTTCCCGGCTTCAAGAGGGAAATTAAGGATTGCTTTTGCGCCACGTAGCTTAAAAGCGGCTCGGTCGTAAGCCTTAGCGGCTTCAATGGCCGTGGAAAAGGTACCTAACCATATCCGGGAACCTCTTCGGGTCGGATCTCGAATCTCCGCCGCGAATTTACCCCACGGCCTTTGTCGAACTCCTCTGTAGTGCTTCTTCTCATCGGAATCCAATTTCTTCGGCTCTGGTTGAGATAAATCCGGTTTATCGAACTGAATCCACTCCACCTTACGAGGCAACGAGATTTTTAGCGACAGCTTTCGAATCTTAGAGTTAGAAGTCGAATAAACTTGAGGTTTCGACTCAAATTCGGAGACACTAGTTCCGTTAGGCTGGAATCCCGGGAAATTGGGAGAAAATTTAAAGAAAGAATCATCATCTTGGAGGCAATGAAAACTAGTTTCTGTGGGATAGGAAGCGGAAGTGGAAGCTTGGGAGTAAAGAGAGGTAGAAACTTGAGGTTTTACCTCATCGGAAAACTCGCCCAATCCCACAGGAGAAAGCTCATCGAGTAAATAATGCTCGATATATTGAAGCGCGCTGGACACTTGACTGCTTGTTTCCATGACCAACGAATTGAAAGAATGAATAAAATTTCAGAGAAAATAAGAAATAAGCGAAGGGATTGAATTGAAGAAGAGAGGATTTTCAGGTATTTATAAGGTACAAGTGAAGACTCGTCAAACATTTCAACGGAGTTCCCACGATGCAAGAAGCTTCAAGGAACCTATAAGATGTGTGTGTGTGTTTTTTTTGGGTTTAATGTAAAAGAAGTATTCAAACTCTATATATATATATTTATTTATATGTCTAAATATTTTCGATTAAGATGTTTAACGTTATAAATATTATCATTTTAAGTATCTCGACCATGGTCGTTACAAAATTCCGTTAAATGACACATCTCGTATTTATATAATTTTAAATAAATTATTTTAAATAAAAAAACTTAAAATTATATTTTAAAAAAACCTAAAATATTTTAAATCTAAAAAAACCAAAACATTAAAAATCTTAATTCCAAATCTCAAACACCGTCGTCGCTGTTATGATCGTTACCATCAACAGACAATCACTCCGACAATTATCTCTCATCCAGTTATCAATCGTCGTCTCAATCTTCTAAATTTCTAAACTTAAATTTCTAAAATCACAAATATTCACATCTTAATTCACATCTTAAAAAATCTCTTAAATCCCTTTAATCAATAATTTGAAACAATAACGACAGTGACAGTCAGCCGCTTGATCGTTCGAAGCAGATTGCAATTTGAGAAAATAGCAACGAGATGATGACGCAGGGGGAGAGGGCATGATGAAGGGGTGGGGTGGGATTTAGTTTTTTTTAATGTTTTTAATAATATTTTTATTCTTTTCAAAAAATAAAAATTTTAAAATTATATAAATATCATACGTTTCATTTAACGAAAATTTTTAACAACAGTTACGGTCAAAATCTTTAAAATGATAACGTTAGATACCTAAATTGATAAAAAAAAATATTTAAATACCTTATTTGGAAAATAAGTATAGTTTAAGTATTTTTTTTATTAAGCCTTTTTTCAATGTACAAAAGGTGATTGTACTAAGTTGAATATTTCACTATTTGATTAATTGAAAAAGTAAGTCAAATCGAGGATCGGACGGCTAATATCTTATTTGCTATATTTTCAGTTTTTATCTCAACTGTTGGTTGCATTTCTCGGATGAAAATGTTTATGACATAATTACGAATGATTTTATTTATTCTTATAGCAAGTTTTTTTTATAAATTATAATATTTTATGTTTTTATAATATATTTTTTACTTATGATTGGTTTTATAGCATATCTCTGAATCCAAATAACTTTTATTTAATTATCTGATATGTTAATCTCTATTTTTGGATTTTCGGACTTGATATCGATATTCATTTATAGTCACCTAAGATAGATCTCGATTGAGCTATAATAATATTATTTTATAAATGAATTATCATTATTATATGTATTTTAATGTTATTGTTAATGGTGTTATCCTTGATCGTTGACAATAGTATTTATTTATATCTATAATTTATTTGAGTTATTTGGTTGTGTTTTTAACTCTTTTATTACTGACCATTTTTTATTCTTAGATGATTAGTTTGTACATTTCAATAGTTTAGATGAAAATGTCTTATTTATGCGATTAATTTATTGTTATTTTAATTAGTTTAAGGAAAATGTTTAGCTTATATGATTAGTTTATTATTATTTTTGTGAATTTTTCTTATAATTTTAAATATTTTCTTATAATTTAATAAAACTGACCATTATTATTATTTAAAAGATAAAATAAAAAGTGTGATGATAGATATTTCTAGGATAATTGCTATTTAACTTAGAAGCAAAGAAATAGGGTTTTACAAGGTCATTGTAAATGGAATCGTTCTCCTTTTACCTTATATAATCCAATTTAGATTTGGAAATGGTGTGTGAACTTAACTTTATTTACAGATTATCTTGCGGTTAAATGCCTGGTATGTCGGAATTCAAACAAACCCTAATTTTAAAGGAATTGTTCATTTTCTTGACTTTCATGTATTCTTGTTTCATTATGGGTAGGTCTGAAATGAAATAATTTTATATTACGAAAGGTAAATTTATAAAACTTCAGAAATTTTGGAGGATGGTAAATTTATAAAATTTTAAATAAATTATCGATAATAAATATAAAAAATTAAAAATTTTAATAAGACATCATCTCCACCGTGTAGATCCCCGGATACATCAATGCTTGATTCGGTGAGAAGTAGTCAATTTGCAGTGTTGTATTACTGGTTCCATCTCTCATGTCAACCTGTCCTATCCTTTTATAAAGTGCCCTCATTTTCAAACCAAACCACTTTTGAATTAACTATTTATATTTTAATTAACTCTTGTGGATTTGAAATATAAAATCTTAATATAAAAATAAGTATTCGAATTATATATATTTTTAAGTGACGTTTAAACTCTTTTCCGTCAATTCATGTGTTTAATATTATAAATATTATCACTTTAAGTTCCTCGACCGTAACAATTATTATTTTTTTTAAAATATTATATTTATAAAAAAACTCTAATTTATCTAAAATTATAAAAAAAACAAAACCATGAAAATCTCAAATCCTAATCATAACCTTACCTCCCTTGCCGACCACGACTGACGATGTCCTTGATATCTCTAGTCGGATGATGTTATCATTGTTGTCAAATTGGTCGTCGAGGCCATGTGGAGTCGCGATTTAGGGTGATGGACTTTCACGATTTAGTTGCGATTTAGGCCTCGTGGAGTCGAGATGGTCGTCCTTGTTGTTGGGTAACCGATCGTTGGTGGAGGCGCGACTGGGTTGAGGTTCGATTAACGAAAATGGTGGCGGTCGACGTGGATATAGATATCATATTTAGGTTTTTCAAAATTTGGGAGAGATTTTTAAAATTTTCAAAAATTGTGGGTCTTTTTTTACAGAAAAAAATATATAATTTGAAGTTTTTTATTTTAAATAAAATTTTCAAAATGACTAGAACGTGATACACGTCACTCAACGGTTGAATATATTGTATGAATACTTTAAAAAAACATATATTATATAAATGTTATTAAAAAAACATTATTATATCAATGTCTACATTTTGGACTATATCTTTATTAGTCGACCTTTCCGTTCTTAATTCATTAAACCAAATTACAATTCATAATGTGATTTTAATGATAAAATAAAATATTATCCTTTTTAAAGGTTTTAGACTCGAACAGTTACATCTGTAGAATGTGTATTATCAATTGATTAAATTTTTTAAATAAATATTATCTTATAATCATCATATACTATTTAAAAACACACATAAAAAACAAATTGATGCCCTCGTAAACATGTACATGCAAATAGATCATCAATATTTTGAAAGTTTGAAACTTTTATTTTTGATAAATCTGGAGTGAATATAAGATAATATTTGTTCAAAGATTGTCAACCATTTAACAATAAACATTTATACTCTTATATACACAATATTCAATTCTGGAACTTCAAGGGATAACGGTAAATCTCATTGAAATTATTTGGTTCGTGCTAAAAGTTTAAACCTTTGAATACATTACAGATAAGTTATATACATTAAAAGATTAGCAGACAAATTCTTTAGTTTTATTTTATATATAAATATACCTTTTGAAATTTGAATCCCGTGCACTGCTCATTGCTTTTCTTTTCATTTATTCGTTGCAAAATATAAAACAATTTGAAAAGTTCAACGTCTCTAGGCCGCAAAATTTGAGAACATAGATTCCCTACAGGTGCTTTAAGCCTTAATTATTGTAAAGTTAAATTCTTAATCAATAGAAACGTAATGCATTCAATCTTCAAATTTGAAGGTTGATGACATCGTTGACTGTTTTTTTTTTTATAGATGACACGTTTCAGGATTTCGGTATATTGACCACGTTGTTTCATGTGATCGTGTTCTGTATGACATAATCAAAACAATATGATACATGAATATCAAAACTCAAAATTTAATCGTATTAAATTATCAATAATAACATACAATATTTATTGAAACATATCTAAATTTATTGATAAAGATAATCTTGAATGTTGTTGTGATCTTCTAGTAAGATAAAAAAAATATTGTCATAAAAATTCTTTAACGTAGATAAGAGTAATACAATTTAATCAATTTTTAGGGAATCACTATCTATATATTAAATCATATTATAAGTATTTATAATTAGATCCCTCATCAAATTCTAAATACAACTTATGGTATCTACATGTTTATTTACATGACACTTTAATACCTATGACACACGTAACATAATTGATCATTTGATTTTGTGTCATACTTTATAATAACATCATATGTGTCCACAATTACGAATTTTAATCTAACAATCTCTCACTTGGACAAAATATATTTCTTGACAAATCTAACATGTCTATTTCCAATTGATCCTCTTTAAACGTTAGTGAGGACACTTTTCTTACAATGACCAGAGTGGATAAAACAAAATAAATTTTATTTCTACAAAAAATAACCTTAAAATAAATATTTTTATACCAAAATAATTGAAATTGTGTCTATAACAAACATGTATTTTAAAATTAAAAAATCTCACTAAAATTAAATATCCTTAAATGATATCATACCCACAAGAGTAGTGTGCTCATGAAAAACCTAGGGTGAAAATCCCTTAGTAAGCGCGCAATTATGAGTTTGTACCAATATGCTTTATAAACATTTAGTCACTCTGAATTTTCTTTAACAACAAAAAATTTAATATCTATATGCTTAGACATTGAGTTATTCGTGTTGTATACGGAATATAAGACTATAAATTTGTTATCACAAAAGAACTTAAGTGATCTTTTTATTCAATTCATAATTAGCAGTTCATGCAACAAAATTTTATATCCATGCTCTAATAAAAGCAGAAGTATATATTTTTGTTGATATCTTACTTATCAGACTTCCTATATGTGAGCATGTAATGTTTTGTCTCTAAAGATATCTTATGAATCATTTGACTGTTATTCCACGATCCATACCTAAATTATTTAAATATTTGCTTAATATCATAAAGTCATATGTTATGAATGAATGATTA